CACACGTACAACCGAATGCAGCAGATGGATGGATGAATGCGCAGCAGGCAAGCGTAGAACCGAATGCAGCAGATGGATTAACACCAGCACTCACACGTACAACCGAATGCAGCAGATGGATGGATGAATGCGCAGCAGGCAAGTGTACAACCGAATGCAGCAGATGGGTTAACACCAGCACTCACACGTACAACCGAATGCAGCAGATGGATGGATGAATGCGCAGCAGGCAAGCGTAGAACCGAATGCAGCAGATGGATTAACACCAGCACTCACACGTACAACCGAATGCAGCAGATGGATGGATGAATGCGCAGCAGGCAAGCGTACAACCGAATTCAGCAAATGGATTAACACCAGCACTCAAACGTACAACCGAATGCAGCAGACGGATGGATGAATGCGCAGCAGGCAAGCGTACAACCGAATGCAGCAGATGGATTAACACCAGCACTCACACGTACAACTGAATGTAGCAGATGGATGGATGAATGCGCAGCAGGCAAGCGTACAACCGAATGCAGCAGATGGATGGATGAATGCGCAGCAGGCAAGCGTACAACCGAATGCAGCAGATAGATTAACACAAGCACTCATTCGTACAACCGAAAGACGTAGATGGATGGATGAACGCGCAGCAGACAAGCGTACAACCGAATGCAGCAGATGGATTAACACCAGCACTCACACGTACAACCGAATGCAGCAGATGGATGGATGAATGCGCAGCAGGCAAGCGTACAACCGAATTCAGCAAAATGGATTAACACCAGCACTCACACGTACAACCGAATGCAGCAGATGGATGGATGAATGCGCAGCAGGCAAGTGTACAACCGAATGCAGCAGATGGATTAACACCAGCACTCACACGTACAACCGAATGCAGCAGATGGATGGATGAATGCGCAGCAGGCAAGCGTAGAACCGAATGCAGCAGATGGATTAACACCAGCACTCACACATACAACCGAATGCAGCAGATGGATGGATGAATGCGCAGCAGGCAAGTGTACAACCGAATGCAGCAGATGGGTTAACACCAGCACTCACACGTACAACCGAATGCAGCAGATGGATGGATGAATGCGCAGCAGGCAAGCGTACAACCGAATGCAGCAGATGGATTAACACCAGCACTCACACGTACAACCGAATGCAGCAGATGGATGGATGAATGCGCAGCAGGCAAGCGTACAACCGAATGCAGCAGATGGATTAACACCAGCACTCACACGTACAACCGAATGCAGCAGATGGATGGATGAATGCGCAGCAGGCAAGCGTACAACCGAATGCAGCAAATGGATTAACACCAGCACTCACACGTACAACCGAATGCAGCAGATGGATGGATGAATGCGCAGCAGGCAAGCGTACAACCGAATGCAGCAGATGGATTAACACCAGCACTCACACGTACAACCGAATGCAGCAGATGGATGGATGAATGCGCAGCAGGCAAGCGTACAACCGAATGCAGCAGATGGATTAACACCAGCACTCACACGTACAACCGAATGCAGCAGATGGATGGATGAATGCGCAGCAGGCAAGTGTACAACCGAATGCAGCAGATGGATTAACACCAGCACTCACACGTACAACCGAATGCAGCAGATGGATGGATGAATGCGCAGCAGGCAAGCGTAGAACCGAATGCAGCAGATGGATTAACACCAGCACTCACACGTACAACCGAATGCAGCAGATGGATGGATGAATGCGCAGCAGGCAAGTGTACAACCGAATGCAGCAGATGGGTTAACACCAGCACTCACACGTACAACCGAATGCAGCAGATGGATGGATGAATGCGCAGCAGGCAAGCGTAGAACCGAATGCAGCAGATGGATTAACACCAGCACTCACACGTACAACCGAATGCAACAGATGGATGGATGAATGCGCAGCAGGCAAGCGTACAACCGAATTCAGCAAATGGATTAACACCAGCACTCAAACGTACAACCGAATGCAGCAGACGGATGGATGAATGCGCAGCAGGCAAGCGTACAACCGAATGCAGCAGATGGATTAACACCAGCACTCACACGTACAACTGAATGTAGCAGATGGATGGATGAATGCGCAGCAGGCAAGCGTACAACTGAATGCAGCAGATGGATGGATGAATGCGCAGCAGGCAAGCGTACAACCGAATGCAGCAGATAGATTAACACAAGCACTCATTCGTACAACCGAAAGACGTAGATGGATGGATGAACGCGCAGCAGACAAGCGTACAACCGAATGCAGCAGATGGATTAACACCAGCACTCACACGCACAACCGAATGCAGCAGATGGATGGATGAATGCGCAGCAGGCAAGCGTACAACCGAATTCAGCAAAATGGATTAACACCAGCACTCAAACGTACAACCGAATGCAGCAGACGGATGGATGAATGCGCAGCAGGCAAGCGTACAACCGAATGCAGCAGATGGATTAACACCAGCACTCACACGTACAACTGAATGTAGCAGATGGATGGATGAATGCGCAGCAGGCAAGCGTACAACCGAATGCAGCATATGGATGGATGAATGCGCAGCAGGCAAGCGTACAACCGAATGCAGCAGATAGATTAACACAAGCACTCATTCGTACAACCGAAAGACGTAGATGGATGGATGAACGCGCAGCAGACAAGCGTACAACCGAATGCAGCAGATGGATTAACACCAGCACTCACACGTACAACCGAAGCAGATGGATGGATGAATGCGCAGCAGGCAAGCGTACAACCGAATGCAGCAGATGGATTAACACCAGCACTCACACGTACAACTGAATGTAGCAGATGGATGGATGAATGCGCAGCAGGCAAGCGTACAACCGAATGCAGCATATGGATGGATGAATGCGCAGCAGGCAAGCGTACAACCGAATGCAGCAGATAGATTAACACAAGCACTCATTCGTACAACCGAAAGACGTAGATGGATGGATGAACGAGCAGCAGACTAGCGTACAACCGAATGCAGCAGATGGATTAACACCAGCACTCACACGTACAACCGAATGCAGCAGATGGATGGATGAATGCGCAGCAGGCAAGCGTACAACCGAATTCAGCAAATGGATTAACACCAGCACTCAAACGTACAACCGAATGCAGCAGACGGATGGATGAATGCGCAGCAGGCAAGCGTACAACCGAATGCAGCAGATGGATTAACACCAGCACTCACACGTACAACTGAATGTAGCAGATGGATGGATGAATGCGCAGCAGGCAAGCGTACAACCGAATGCAGCATATGGATGGATGAATGCGCAGCAGGCAAGCGTACAACCGAATGCAGCAGATAGATTAACACAAGCACTCATTCGTACAACCGAAAGACGTAGATGGATGGATGAACGCGCAGCAGACAAGCGTACAACCGAATGCAGCAGATGGATTAACACCAGCACTCACACGTACAACTGAAGCAGATGGATGGATGAATGCGCAGCAGGCAAGCGTACAACCGAATGCAGCAAATGGATTAACACCAGCACTCACACGTACAACCGAATGCAGCAGATGGATTAACACCAGCACTCACACGTACAACCGAATGCAGCAGATGGATGGATGAATGCGCAGCAGGCAAGCGTACAACCGAATGCAGCAAATGGATTAACACCAGCACTCACACGTACAACCGAATGCAGCAGATGGATGGATGAATGCGCAGCAGACAAGCGTACAACCGAATGCAGCAGATGGATTAACACCAGCACTCACACGTACAACCGAATGCGGCAGATGGATGGATGAATGCGCAGCAGGCAAGCGTACAACCGAATGCTGCAAATGGATTAACACCAGCACTCAAACGTACAACCGAATGCAGCAGACGGATGGATGAATGCGCAGCAGGCAAGCGTACAACCGAATGCAGCAGATGGATTAACACCAGCACTCACACGTACAACCGAATGCAGCAGATGGATGGATGAATGCGCAGCAGGCAAGCGTACAACCGAATGCAGCAGATGGATGGATGAATGCGCAGCAGGCAAGCGTACAACCGAATGCAGCAGATAGATTAACACAAGCACTCATTCGTACAACCGAAAGACGTAGATGGATGGATGAACGCGCAGCAGACAAGCGTACAACCGAATGCAGCAGATGGATTAACACCAGCACTCACACGTACAACTGAATGCATCAGATGGATGGATGAATGCGCAGCAGGCAAGCGTACAACCGAATGCAGCAAATGGATTAACACCAGCACTCACACGTACAACCGAATGCAGCAGATGGATTAACACCAGCCCTCACACGTACAACCGAAGCAGATGGATGGATGAATGCGCAGCAGGCAAGCGTACAACCGAATGCAGCAGATGGATTAACACCAGCACTCACACGTACAACTGAATGCATCAGATGGATGGATGAATGCGCAGCAGGCAAGCGTACAACCGAATGCAGCAGATGGATTAACACCAGCACTCACACGTACAACCGAATGCAGCAGATGGATGGATGAATGCGCAGCAGGCAAGCGTACAACCGAATGCAGCAGATGGATGGATGAATGCGCAGCAGGCAAGCGTACAACCGAATGCAGCAGATGGATTAACACCAGCACTCACACGTACAACCGAATGCAGCAGATGGATGGATGAATGCGCAGCAGGCAAGCGTACAACCGAATGCAGCAGATGGATGGATGAATGCGCAGCAGGCAAGCGTACAACCGAATGCAGCAGATAGATTAACACAAGCACTCATTCGTACAACTGAATGCATCAGATGGATGGATGAATGCGCAGCAGGCAAGCGTACAACCGAATGCAGCAAATGGATTAACACCAGCACTCACACGTACAACCGAATGCAGCAGATGGATTAACACCAGCACTCACACGTACAACCGAATGCAGCAGATGGATGGATGAATGCGCAGCAGGCAAGCGTACAACCGAATGCAGCAGATGGATTAACACCAGCACTCACACGTACATCCGAGCAGCAGATGGATGGTCCAGGAATCAACGCTCCAGAGCACACCTCAGTAGAGGGAGCAGCAGCACGGGTAGCAGCAGCAACAGCAGCAGTGGAGGAGGGAGTGGCCTCCTATCCGCAGCAGCCTTGCATGATCCAGGAATCAACGCTCCAGAGCACACCTCAGTAGAGGGAGGCTCTGCCCCATCGGCATCCACACAGGCAGCAGCGGAGGGAGTGGCCTTCCTGTTCCCCTTATCCTCCTTCTCCTCCTTCGCCCCCTTGCCCAACTCCTCCCCTGCCGCTGCTGTGTCTGTCGCTGGGGACTTGGCAGTCAAGAGAGCATCAGATGCGGGTTGTAGGCCTGCAGGGGGAGAGAAGGGGGGAGGCAAAGGGAGGTAGGGGATGGTGAGCGATGTGAAGCGGGCCTCGCTGTGACGTGCGTGATGCCCGAAAGGAAAACACAACCTTTTTGAATTGACTCACAAGTCACCGCATCAGCTGCTGCATGCCGCCATGCCCGTAAAAAGCGCCTCTAAACGCCTCAACTCTGCTGCCGAACCCATGAACGCTTCAGTCTCGCGAGGCAGGAGTTACCTTGGCAGGAGTGATCCAGCCGCCAGCCGCAGCTTCGCCTTGCCCTTGCTCGCTGCACTCGCACTGCCCAGCACCCGCCCCTCCAGCTGCCTCAGCCGCTGCTCAATCTGTTTCTCGATCACACACGAAAGGAAGGGGAGAAAGAGACAGAGGAGAGTCAGTACAATGCACAGACAGGAGCAGATGGCAGCACCAGAAGCGGGCGAACGGTGGGGGCAGAGGAGGGATGACGGGCGAATGGAAGTTGAGCCCAAGGATAAGGATGGCAGCACCAGAAGCACCAGGAACAGATGGCAGCGCCAGAAGCAGTTGCACTGGAAGAGTGCATGCCATCAATTCCACTAGGTTCCTTCTCCTCCCCTTCCACCCACCTTAGCGCGCCCCTGAGTCTCCTCGGTAGGTTCGGTGGCATCACCCCGGGCGTCCAGCGAGTAGCGAGGGAGCTCTTGGGCGCGAGCACGCGGGAGATCCTGCCGTTGGGTGAGCGTGGGGGGCGCGTGGCCGATGAGCTGAGCGCGGCGTGGAAGACCAGGCCGTTCTTGGGCGAGTCGTGCTTTGCCTTGAGGGCCTGGGGGGTGAAGTGGGCATGGAAGGTGAAGTGGAAGAGTGGGGAAGAAGAGAGCGGACAGGGGAGGAGAGGGAAGGAAGGGGAGTTTTCAGAGGTGAAAGGAGGGGGCAAAGGAGGGATGACGGGCGAATGGTAGTTGAGCCCAAGTACCAGTCCATCAGCACGAAGTGGAAGGCGCCACCTCCATTCCATCCTCCTGCCCACGTGGATGACCACCATTCGCTACAGTGAATGAATGCAATGGAAGGCGGCGTACCTTCTCAGCGCCCAGGATCCGGGGGAGGCGGGGTGCGTGGCGAGGCTCATGAGGGAAGGCAACCGGCATGGGCGATGACGCGCGCGCCCACCACCTCGCCCACCACCGTGGCCGATGGGCTATGACCAGCGCACCCACGAGCGCACCCACGAGCGCGCCCACGAGGGTCATGAGGGAACCGTCAGGTTGGGCGCTTTGGCCAGCATGCGCGATCGCAGGCAGCGGAGGAGCTGCGCGCCTGGAGGGGAAGGGCCAGCAGACTCTGAGAGGGCCATCACCTGGAAGGAAGGGGAAGGAAGGTCCAAGGATGGTGGGGGGGGATGGGGCGTTTCAGTCGGCCAGACGAAGATGGGTGAGATAGGAGATCGAACTCACGTATACAGTTGCACTAACGCCGCACTGTGAGTGTGCGTTACCAGCATGGCAGACATTTCGACGCATTGCCCCTGTGTTCATCGAAACGTGTTACCCACCCACCTGGTCGCAGAGCGCAGTGATGCTGGTCAGACTCATGTCATGCTCGCTGACCTCCGTCCCCATGGAGCTTAGACGCCACCCAAACCAGCATTGACCTGCATTGACCTCGCGTTGACCTGCGTTGACCAGAGCCTCTCTGACCACTGACCTGGTCGCGGAGCGCAATGATGTTGGTCGCTGGCCTCCGCCCCAATGGAATCACCGCTGCACCCTTCCTTGCCGGCTGCACATCCTGCTCCAATATCTGGGGGGATGGATGGGCAGGGAGGATGAGAACGGGAGGTTGGAAAGCGGCTGTCAGTGACGACCTCACAAACGAGCAAGCAGCTCGTCAACGGAGAGCAGAAGAGGGAAAAACACGCCTCGACGCGGGCGGGAGTGGAGTGGGCAAGGGAGGGGAGCAAGGATGAGGACCACACTCACCCCGGACAAGTCAAGGTCAGCGGCGTTGTCGCGGTGAGCCATGAGCTCGACGGCTCTGGCGTACTGCATGCAGTCCGAGCCCTGGCGATCTTGGCGCACGCGAATGGCGTACTGCAGTGCAGGTGGTCCGATCAGCAGCGTACTGCAGTGCATGTGGTTTGTGACGATCTTGGCTTGGCGGGCTCGGGTAAACGCGGTGAGCCATGAGCTTCACGGCTCCGGCCCTCGTCGCGCCTCCCCCCTCGTCGCCCCTCCACCGTCGCCGCGCTTCCCCGTCGCCACGCGTATCCCCTCGTTGCGCCTCCCCCGTCGCCGCGCGTCCCCCCTCGCCGCGCGTCCCCCCTCGCCGCGCGTCCCCCCTCGCCGCGCCTCCCCCCTCGACGCGCATCCCCCCTCGCCGCGCCTCCGCCCTCGTCGCTTGTCTCCCCTTAGTCGCTGCCTCCCGTTGCCTCCATGTTCCACGCCCTTCGCTCCTCCCTTCGCCCTTACGCCAGTCCCTCACGTAAACGGACGCTCGCTCCGTGATGTCTCGCCCGTCGCAGGTGGTTCGATCAGCGGCGTACTGCATGTGGTCCGATCAGCGGCGTACTGCAGTGCAGGTGGTCCGAGCCTTGGCGGGCGCGGGGAGACGCCACCCGCACCACTCGCGCACGCGAATGGCGCACGTCGTCCCTCGTATGCGTGCTCGGGTTGCAGGGACGACGTTCATCGTCTCATTCCGCACACGTCGTTGCGCCACGCGCGTGTTTACTCCGTCCCATTTCGTGTCAGATTGGCCTTGTCATTCACCTCGTCCCACCGTCGTCGCGTGACCCTCCGTCGTCCCTCGTCCCCCCTCGTCGCGCGTCCACCGTCGCCGCGCTTTCCCCGTCGCCACGCGTATCCCCTTGTCGCGCCTCCCCCCTCGTCGCGCCTCCACCGTCGCCGCGCGTATCACCTCGTCGCGCCTCTCCCCTCGTCGCAAGATTCCAATCGTCGCGCCTCCCTTGTCGCCGCGCGTCCCCCCTCGCCGCGCCTCCCCCTTGTCGCGCCTCCCCCCTCGCCGCGCCTCACCCCTTGTCGGGCCTCCCCCCTCGACGCGCATACTCCCTCGCCGCGCCTCCGCCCTCGTCGCTTGTCCCTCACGTCAACGGACGCTCGCTCCGTGATGTCTCGCCCGTCCCATAGCGTCTCGCCCGTCGCATGGCGTCTCGCCCGTCGCATGGCGTCTCGCCCGTCGCATGGCGTCTCGCCCGTCGCTTGGCATCTTGCACGTCGCTTGGCGCCTCGCCCGTCGCTTGGCGTGTCGCCCATGGCTTGGCGTGTCGCCGTCGCTTGGCGTGTCGCCCGTCGCTTCGCGTCTCGCCAGTCTTGCTCGCGCTGCCGTGCGATAATTCCGCGTGTCCCTCGTCGCGCGCCTCCCGTCTCCACTCGCCTACCATCCTCGCGCGTACCACTGGCGTCGAGCGTCCACGTCGTCCCCCCGTTCAGCTCCCCGTAGTGCGGCTACAAATGATGGCTATAGTCGCAACTACTCTTCGTAGGAGTAATCCGTGCAGATAATGACTTTCTGTCGCACAGCTACTCAACGTGTACACGATTCGTGTGGCACTGATAGTCTGAGGCAGTTCGCGAATGCTCGCCTTAACTTCCACAAGAGCTGCTGGAGTCTAGCTGGATGCAGCAACTATACGTACTAAAGATCACGTGAAAAGTTACTAAAACTGGAACCATTTCAACACTCGTAAGGTTGCCAGCAAGTTCGAGCGATCTGGAGCACCGTATGATAACGTGGTGAATAACGTGGTGAATCTTACACTATCCCGCTGCGTGATCATAACACAATCAGAAGGAACTAGAAATTTGGAGGAAGCCATGGAGGCGAGGTGAGCAAGTGAGGTAAGAGGCAGATATGAAACCCTAAACTTTTTGCCCGGGCTCTGATCGAAGCTCACTCCAAGCAAGTCCAAACCAGAAGCGTGCAGGTTCGGAATCAAACCCAGGCTGTGTTACGAAATCGGAGGGAAAACAGGCTCGGCAGTTCAAAGTTGCCAAGCGGCGACAAGATTTGGCGAGCCGCCTGACACAACCCCGAAATTGGTTTGTCCTCGCTCAAGCAAAGATTCGCTGTTGCGGAAATTTATGATTTTGCAAGTCCTGCTAAAATATGTCCAGTACATGACGAATTTGGCCTTTTTGAAGCATTACGATATGAATGACTTCTGTACATCATGTAATCATGCCTTTCCTAGGAATACTTGATAGCCATAACTCAGAAATATCACCGAATATTGTAACGATGAACATTACATTGGGCTGCATGAATTCAGATCATACCGAAATGATCGATAGAGATTTTGTGGAAATAGTTGTTTCTTTTGCATAGCTCTGTAAGAAGTATGTGTTGCATAACTCATAACACATAGCGTCATCTGTTACATTTTCGCTTTCTCTGATTTGTATTCACATCTCGTAGGGACTTCGCCAGGTTCCTTCGCGACGCTAGCATGTAGCGTGACAGCATTGCTGTCCTGTCCAGGCCATCACACCCCACGCAGTCGCGTCGCAATCCTAGCATCTAGTTCTAGCGTCACTCTCTGCTGAAGTCGCCAAGCAAGCACTCGACCCTCTCTCGTATATACAGTTCCACGCAATTCGCGTCGCGAGGCTAGGCAGGATTGATGTGCATCTAGAACCCTAGAAGGCCTTCACTCGACCCCATTAGTATTCACCCACGCAGAGACCCGATCTGCTAGCGTCGAGGACACTTCCAGCAGAGAATCTTCCAGATGCTACCAACCCGATCTGCTAATCTGATCCGTGACTCGGCAATCTGTGACTTCTCGGTTCTGAGATTCCGCAAATCTGTGAATCCACCCTGCTACTCCGCGAATTTGTGATTCCACGTTGCGATTCCGCGAATCCGAGACTCCACCGCTGATATTCCGCGGATCTACGACTCCGCGCGTCTCCGCTGTTCTTCTCAGAAGGCACGACCCTTGGCGGCAGCGACTGACGTTCTCCCGTCTGGTAACAAGAGTTTCACAGTATTACTCACAAACTCGTCAGATATGACGTTCCGCTCAGATATGTTCCTCTTCCATCTTAGTATTCCCCGCTCTCGCCCCCCTTTTCCCTACAGCCCTCCTTCCCCAACCCTGACTATTATCAGTACATATTTGTTCCTGCAAACTACTCACAGACGCGTCAGCACTCTGATTGCATAGCGCCATCTGTAATTCAATATTATTCACTTCCAATCCTCTCAGATCTGTTCTACTGCCATCTGATTCATTTTCCCCCTCTCCTCTCCCTTTCCCCTCTCGTCCTCCCCCCCTGCTCTTTGTGCAACGCCCTTCTATGTGTGCTTGCAGCATCTCTACACCCGGCCCCTCTTTGTCGCGTGATTGACATGACGGTGATAAGAGGAAGCGTACCACCGACGATTCAAAGGGCGAACCCTTCTACGAGACGGAGATGCGCCGCATGTTCGAGGTCATGCCAAAGGAGCAGCTCATCGATCTGCACCTTGAGGCGTAACTTCCATCCATTATATTTCTGTTTGTTATTGTTTTTCAAATCTCAAATCATGCTTGCTCTGTTACACGTGTTCATGAGAGATCATGTTTGTCCTCTCTCATATGTGCGTGGATGTGGCTACAGATGTTGTACATACAGGCCTGTGACTGAGACAGCGTTGACCAATATGGACACCAACGTATCCAACCGCACGCTTTTTGTGTCCGGCTTTTCGAACGAGACCCAGAAGGCAACATTGTTTTCAGTAAGTGCACTGAACTCTCACCTAGTCCCTTTGGATTGATTCATGGCAATATTTTAACAACGAGGTGAGTTTTAGCAAGCATAGTGTAAGCATCCTACTCTCATTGTGGATCTATGTTGTCTAGGGTAGCTCCATCGTGGGCGCCAGCACGGCGAAGCAGTGGCGTGGGGCTGTTGTAGGGCGTGCAGTGGCGTGGGGCTGTTGTAGGGCGTGCAGTGGCGTGGGGCTGTTGTAGGGCGTGCAGTGGCGTGGGGCTGTTGTAGGGCGTGCAGTGGCGTGGGGCTGTTGTAGGGCGTGCAGTGGCGTGGGGCTGTTGTAGGGCGTGCAGTGGCGTGGGGCTGTTGTAGGGCGTGCAGTGGCGTGGGGCTGTTGTAGGGCGTGCAGTGGCGTGGGGCTGTTGTAGGGCGTGCAGTGGCGTGGGGCTGTTGTAGGGCGTGCAGTGGCGTGGGGCTGTTGTAGGGCGTGCAGTGGCGTGGGGCTGTTGTAGGGCGTGCAGTGGCGTGGGGCTGTTGTAGGGCGTGCAGTGGCGTGGGGCTGTTGTAGGGCGTGCAGTGGCGTGGGGCTGTTGTAGGGCGTGCAGTGGCGTGGGGCTGTTGTAGGGCGTGCAGTGGAGTGGGGCTGTTGTAGGGCGTGCAGTGGCGTGGGGCTGTTGTAGGGCGTGCAGTGGCGTGGGGCTGTTGTAGGGCGTGCAGTGGCGTGGGGCTGTTGTAGGGCGTGCAGTGGCGTGGGGCTGTTGTAGGGCGTGCAGTGGCGTGGGGCTGTTGTAGGGCGTGCAGTGGCGTGGGGCTGTTGTAGGGCGTGCAGTGGTGTGAAAACCGTTTTTCATTCCACTGGAAGGTGAGCCAGACATCTCTAAGCGAAACAGGCAGGTTTGAGCCTAAGTCAGCGCTTTCAACTGCTTAGTGAAGGTGCAGACTCGTAGGTCGTGAAAAGGGTTCGGAAGAGACGTTAGCCCCATCACGATCATTTAACTGCGGTAAGTAGGTTCAGCGGAGTGGTATGGGTAGGGTATGACACTCGTCAGCAGCAGCAGTGAATCAAGATGGGGGTAAGATCATTGCTACGAGTCTCGATGCGGTCACTTTAGTATGGGACTGGAGCTGCCATGCAGCTTAAGCTACTCTGCACTAATAGGTACGCCAGATGGGAGTAGGCTTATTGCTGCCAACGTGTTGGACACTGTCACTTTTTGTCATGTTGCGGGTGAGTCTCATTGATGCGAGTCCTCTGGGGATGAAGGCTGTTGCACCCGTACTGGTTCGTTGCTCTTAAAACCCGTGGGTCAAGAAGGCCGAATTTGGTTCATCCTTCCTAGTGTTGGTTGGATGTCCCAAAAGCGCCTGTGATTTTCCCGAGTTTCAACACCTCCCCCAACAACTTCGACACTCCTATTGGCTCGCGGGCAATTTCTGTTCTCACTCCCAACCAACCTTCCTAAGCTTGAATATCTTGGCCTGCGGGTTTTAAAGGTCATATCGTTGGTGTATGTCATACATTATACCGAAGCTGTCGCCACGGCTTGCAACGGGGCGTGCATTGCACGGCATCAACAAGTAGGAAGGGTCCATGGGTCGCTACTCCCGTCTAATAATGAGGGTGGAGGGGTAGCAGAGCCCTTTATATACCCGTGGCAGAGGTAGTAGGCAGAGGCAAAGGGCAAATGTAAGAGGTTGTTCTGTCAGAATCCCAACCACTAGACCATTGGGATAAAAGGGCTTATTAAGTAGCGGGTCAGTGCGCCCATAACCCCCCAGGCCAACATGCCTGTAACCCTTCCCTAGGATCAATCGGGGATCACCAGTGGACCTCTGACACCCCCCCGCACTGGGAAGCCCGAAGTGCACACACTGGGATTCGAACCCGAGACCTTCGCTCTGATACCATGTCAGAATCCCAACCACTAGACCATTGGGATAAAATGGCTTATTAAGTAGCGGGTCAGTGCACCCATAACCCCCCAGGCCAACATGCCTGTAACCCTTCCCTAGGATCAATCGAGGATCACCAGTGGACCTCTGACATGTTCCTCTCTGTCTCTCTTGATCTTTTGAGCGTCTAAAACTTTGACAACCGGAAGGTTGTACTCTTTCTTGATGGCATCGTTCCAAGCTCTCTGGTTCATTGGTAAGTTCATTTATTGTCGCATGTTCGTGATATATGTGCTTGAATGAGTCGCAGAGGTTTTCTGAGTATGGAGATGTTGAGAACATTACGATCGACAAGGACGAGGTGACCGGACAGTCAATGGGATCTGGATACATCACATTCAGTTCGACGATGGCTGCCTTCAAGGCGCTCCACGACCCAAACAAGACGGTCAATGTAAGTGTGTTACTGCAGCCATGATTTCGTGAACGGTATTTGTTGTTTTGGTTTCTTTTTATGTCGCGAGTATGCTAATGTGCGCAGGGATCGGCAATCCTGCCAACCGATCCCATATCTTGTCTTTTAATGTTGATAAAACGATGCACTTTTGAAAGCCTCTGTTCTTATGCTCTTGATTCTAAACCAGGGTCGTTCGACTGACTTTTCTCTCACTGCATGGAGCTTGCCGACGGCGTCATCTGCCACGACTGGTTCAATCATCGACAAATCTTTGCATAGGATTTACGTCTCGCACCTGCCGTTCGAATGGAATGAGGAGCAGCTTGAAAGACATTTTTCACAGTATGGGAAGGTGGGGGAGCACGCGATCATAGTTGATCTATCGACGGGAAAATCAAAGTAAGTGTAGGAACTCTGATTGTCATGAACATGTTCGGTTGTTTGCGGCATTTGGTGTTTGCGAGATTTTTTTTCAAGCTTCTGTTTTAACATCACACATTCTCTTGTTTCCCTTCAGTTTAGTGAAATTATTGGACTTATGTGTAAAATGTCAATTGCATTGGGTTCTTTATTTCCTTTCCGCCCATTTTCAGAGGGTATGGCTTCGTCACATTTCAAACAAAAGAGGGGGCAGCGAGCGCCGTTGCTGCGCCAAGCACTACGATTGCAGTAAGTATTCATTCTCAGCATTTCAATTTGTTAATAGTGCATTATTTGTTCTTTAAAACAAAATCAATATTGTCACTGCTTTATGCCCTCTGTATCCTTCCCTGCCTTGAATTGTGCATTACAGGGTCGTACATTGAGAGTGAGGATCGGTAATCCGAGGGCTGCTCGTGTCCAGCCGCCTCCACGGCAGCGGTCACAGCTGCTGCCACAGCCGCAGTCACAGCCGCAGTCACAGCCGCAGTCACAGCTAGCAGCAGGTTCCAGTGCACCAGGACAACGTGCCTCTTCTCCCTTAGGAGCAGCTGCTGCCACTGCTGCAAGTTCTTCTGGGGAAACGGGGGGCAGTGCACAGGGGAAGCTTCGTGTTGCTCCAAAGAAATTTGGTGTTGATCTTTTCACTGGCATCATATGATTTGCTGCTGCTACCACTTCGACAGAAATTCTGTAGTTATCCGGATGTGTGTTTGAATGTTGGTGGGATGGGACAGCTGCTATTGTCAGCATGCATTTGTATAGGATGTACTCATGAATTCTTGCAAACACTCTGCTGTTGGTTCATCCCTAGCTGCTTGAATCTTGTCATGTGCATTTTCCATACTGGTGGCACATGGCGGTGATGCTGGCTTGGCCAGCCTTTCCTGAAAACAAGTTGGTTGAGTTAGCTGTTATTTTCTTGTACGGTAATCAGACACAACACAACCAATCAACTATGTGTACACACGCAAGCATACACGCACGCCCTCCTGCCCTTACGCTCGCATGCACACATGCATGCCAACGCAGAAACTACTACCGCATCGTGTTGTCGTAGATATAAGCGTACCTTTGCTTCTAATACTCATAATCGAGCAAACTGTAAAAGCATAGTAAGGAGAATTCATTTTTTTTTTCTCCGCGCCCCTGCTAAGCGCGTACATGATTGTTCCCGCCAACAGTCCTCAACAGTACACCGTTACCTCTCGCCTCAACTACTGCTTCCGCCACTGTTCACGACGCGACCCAACCAGGGCTAATTTTTTGTTCTTGCCAACCCTTACGATCAGTGTTGCACATGTTCAAAACCCTGATTATCAGTGTGACCCCTTGTGGGAAAACTGATTCATCAGGGTTTCTGCTTAGTTTGAATATTCAACCCTGAGGCATCAGTGTACAATGTTCTCGAACCCTGCTGAAATTGTCATTAACAGAGCACACAATAACAAATTTACAGTTTCGACAGTTGGCAATCGGGAATCCCGGGTTACGGGGTAGGGGGGTAAGGGGAAGGGGGAAGGGGTGGGGGGGGGGCGGGGGGTGGCTGGTACTCGCTTCAGAGTAAAACTCGCTAAGAGGATAGGCAACACTGAAGCGACAGTGTGCCTTATTCGTAAACCCTGGCACATCAGGGAAAATCAAGGTCCCAAAAAAATTACCCTACGGCATCAGTGTTACACCCAAAAACCACCCTGATAATCAGGGTATCAGGGTGATTTACCCTGATAAATTAGGGCCTGGACCCAACCTCACGGCTTGGTTGGTAATCCGCGCTACGGACCTTCGCTTTCGACAATTCCCAACCTCGGCGACAGGCCCGTCGCGCACGCGCACCCCAATTTCACGCATTACCGTTACCATTGTAGCTTCGCTATATATTCTTCGCTCATGCCTTCGCTCATTGTACTGCTTTGCTTCGATAGTACAATTCTCGCTCGCTCGCTCAATTGCACTCGTATTCAGAGCGTACGATCTCTTCTCGGACCGCACCCGCACATTCGCTTCCCCACCATCTCAAATTTTTGGGGGGGGGAGACGTCTCTCAGCGTTCAGGCACCGCCGCTCGAAGTGCTCTCTTGCAACCACGCACGGCCACGACTGAGGCTCTCGCTGAGCTTGCTTGCCGAATTCAATATCGCCACGTTGACGCAAGCGCATCTCGACCGTCTCGTGCGCCAACTGGAAGATTCGAACGCGACTCCGACCGTCGGACTCGAGATTGCGGCGCTCACGGCATAACGCGACTCTGCCCGCCATCAATCGACAGCGAATGCACCCGCACCAGCACCTGCAAATGCAACTGCGCAATCGGATGAGCCGATTGTTATTTCATCCGGCACACCGTCACAGCACGACAGCCTGGGACAGCGCTCAGGCGCAGCCAGTGATGGCGCTGCCCAGTCAAAGCCTGGCATGGAGAAAAACAGGGCCGCACCAAACACGAATGGGCCTCGCGAAGCCCGTCGTCACGTCGAATTCGCAACAACAATCGGCAACGACGACGTCGGCGCACCAATGCCGCTCAAGCCGCAGCGCCCGCCCTGCTTCGATCCTGGCCAACGCGGAGGTCCGACGGTTCAATCGTGGATCCTGTTGTTTACGCTATTTACGTCACGCCGGACGTGGCTTCTATTTTGGCGCATCAGAGACTGCGTACTTGGCGGCAGCTCGGGTCGGTTCAAGACTACACCAGCAGTTTTCTCGCTCTGCGCGAGCAAGTCGGCGACCTGCACGAGGCGGAGCGGGTGGACCGTTACGTCGGAGTGCTGAAGCCGGACATTTCGCACGAGATTATGCTTCGCGGACTAAATAATTTCAACGAAATCCTCGCGCTCGCCGAGAATATTGATATCTTTCGCCGACCGAGACCGCTACGGACATTGCCCTCGAGGACCGATCGAGGACGCTGTCAACGAGGTAACGGAATGATGAATGACTTTAGAAATGACAAAGACAAGGAAGATATAGCAAACCCTGGTCAACCCTAGCCAACCCTAAACATAAGTGTACACCACCTAGACTAGCAAATACAAACCATAACGATTATAGTTTGACACACCCCCATAGTCTAGGTGACGGTAGTTCTGTGGAAAGCAACATACCGTCTAAGAGCAAGGGTCACTGGACCAGTCAGCAAGAGCAAACAATGGTCACAAGACCAGTTCAGAAGAGCAAAACAAAGCTCGGGGTGGACCTCAAAATCACCACGCATTCCGAGAACAAACAAGAGGCCACAAGGCCAGTTCACATGCAATGACAAAGCAAATATAGAAGATGCAAGAGTACAAGATATGCATGACAAAAGCAAGAAGCCACAAGGCCTGTCCACAAGTACAAATATATTATATATAATGAGATGCAAGAGTACAAGACAGAGCATCTCTGGTGCTCACAAGGCGGCAACACCTTGGTGAAGATATCTACAGTGTTGGACTCAGAGACCACACGTCGCACGAGTGCCTGACCACGATGCTGCAACTCTCGCAGAAGGAGGTAACGAAGCTGGATGTGCTTCGCCTTCCCAACCAGTCTAGGCTCCTCGCACAACAGGATAGCAGACTTGTTTTCGGCGAACAAGACTGGGGGAGAGCGAGGCCGCTCACCGAGGTCGGTGTTGAGGAAAGACAGCCAGCGAAGCTCCTGGGCGGCCATGGCCGCAGCGTACACATCTGCTTCACAGCTGGAACTAGAGACGGACCACGCCCGATTCGACCTCCACGAAATTGCTCCGGTGCCAAGGCTGAAGCAGTAACCCTGTGTAAACCGCAGCGACTCTGCGTCCGAGATTCCTGTAAGTGTAACTGGCTGCTTCCCTCCAAGGACAAGTGCATGATGTACTCGCCACATACTTCGCCACCCTTTTAGCAGCGTACCAGTGGGAAAGTCGGTGTCTTCTATGCGCAACAAAGCGCGCAAGGACGCTAAGAGGGTAAGCTAGGTCTGGGCGAGTACAGGTCATCAGGTACATGAGACAAACCACCAGCTCAGGATATGGACCACTGAACTCGAATGGCTCGTCCGAAGGTGGAGCCGTGAGCCCATGATCCACAGCAAGAGGGGTGGGCTGTACCTTGGAGAACGGGAAGCGAAACTACGTGAGGATTTGCTCGATCATATGCGACTGCGTCAACGTAATAATGCGAGCGGCACTGTCCCTGGTGATCTGCGGGATAATGTAGCGCTGCAGCTCACCAAGGTCAGTGCAAGTGTGTCTCCTCTGCAGTTCCTCCTTCGCGGAGGCAATGCGTGTCGGTTGGGAGTGGCAAAGACCAGGTCGTCAACATAGACCAAAACAAAGAACGGGGTCAAGCCACGGCGGACGAACAATGACGGGTCGGCAGACGACGGAAAGAAGTAAAGCGCTACAAGAGTCGTATGTAGCGTGTCGTGCCACTCGCGGGGGGCCTGACGCAGGCCGTAGACCGGTCGACGCAGCTGCCACTGGGTCCTAGGAGGGAAAGAGCCAGTGAAGCCAGGCGGACGACGTAGCCAGATCTGCTTGTGCAGGCTCCCTTGTAGGAACGCGCTGTGGAGAAGTCCAAGGAGTGCAACTCGTGGTCGCGCTGAGCTGCTATATGCAGCAACACCCGAAGAGTGGTCATCTTCGGGGTGGGAGCGAAGGTTTGGAAGAAGTCTACCCCCTCTCGCCAACTGAAGCATCTCGCCACGTTATACGCCTTGAACACTGGTGGTGATCCAGGCGGCCGCTTCACCTTGTAGAGCCACATGCCACTGACAACGTTCGCCCGGTGGCGGAACGACGTCGACTTAGGTGCCTGTGGACCTATAAGATGCCATCTTGGCCTCCCAGTTGCTATCGAGTACGAGGCTCAAGGTCCCGACACCGCCTCAGCGTGTGTGCGAGAGATCGGGATGTCAAGAGCGTCTGAATTCTTCTCAAGGGCAAGCAGCATGGCACAGAGATGAGAAACAGCGGCCGCAAGGAAACCAAGCTCGAACTTCTTGTCCTCGAGGACCTCCAGGGGAAAGACAGGAGCACCCCAGAATACGGAGAACGAGCAGGGCCACTCACCAGGTGAGCGGCGTAGTCAACGCGGTGGGAAGAGGCAAAGCCAGCGACAGGGGTGCAGTAGGGTGAGTGACCAACGCAGACAAAACACGGGAGACGACAGGTCGGGAGGCACGGAGGTAGTCGGACAACGGGTCGTGAAGCACAGTGAAAGACGACTCAGGAGGTTGTGGAAGGACTGAAGGAGGTGGAACACGAGAGCGGAGAACAAGGTGAA